CCTTTAACTGTGTTCATGTTGTTGTGTGTACGTGTGCAGGGAGCGGGGTTAATTCGTTCCTTTGGAGGAAGTAAAGGAAATAATTAACTGATGGAAAAAATGTATATTTGCTGGGTTTAAATGACCTTACTTAATTCTGAAAACCTTGCTAAGGAGGTACTGTTGTGTCTGCTTTGTGTGCTCGTGGGGACCAGAGTTGCAGCAGTGGTAACGTGCTGAAGGCGAGATTCCGATGGAACCCAAAGGCAGCCCTCTTGGTTCCCGTACCAGAGCGCTGACTCACGGTCTCACGTTGCGAGACGTTAAACTGAGTCCACTCCACTCCAGCCTTTATGGAGTCCCTTTGTTGGTCCCCAAAACCAGGCTCTTGGGAGCTTTTTGGCAGTATTTAATTCTTTTGAGATTTATGTCATCCTCTTCCTGAAATCTGTCCGTCCATCTTGGGTCGTGTGAAGATCTTTTGAGTCTGGAATGGCTCGTGTTGTGCATCAAGGAGCAGCTCTTCTGGTTCCTGGCAGTCTCGGGAGCTGTCGGGCTGCTCCTGGGGTATCTGCTGACATTGTGTGTGCTGATTTTACAAGCCAAGAACAACTGCAAGCATTAGCGTGGCCAGTTAGGATGTGTGCCTTTCTGGCTTATTGATGTCCCAGAATATTTCTCAAGTTTCATGTACCTGTTAGGGATATTCTTGGGGTAGGTTGATTTACGCTGTTAGACTGCTTGCATTTGAGGCAGTCAGTAGCAGTCCTGAGCTCTTCCCCTGCATGAACAGCAGCGGCTGGAGTAACCTGGATGGGTAAGATAAAAATTGTATTCCTCTGTACGCCCCTGAATTAGTAAACCAGAGACTGATAAGCTAGTTTTTAAAAATGCCTTAGCTTTTATGAGCTAAGTATGTGACATCTTGTGAAGCATAATGCTATGTATAATCCTTACTTTCCCACATTTTGTGGAGGAAGCAGATTGTATATAATTCTTAGGAAACGTGAATCCTTTACCCTCACTCAGAGTAAAGTCCTCCTCTGATTGGGGGTCCAGGACCTTCCTGAGTCTCAGGCCCGTGCTCTCCAGCTGTGCTGGCCACCTGGCCCCTCCGCACTCCAGCACCCTCCCTGCCGAGGAATTTCGTACTTTCTGGTCCAGACCTTAACCAGGAGACTCTTCCCCTGTGTAACTCACACAGCCACACCCCTGATCTCTGTCAGGAACTTGTTCAAGTGAGTCCTTTCCTTATCAGTTTATTGGAAATAGCCCTGCCCCCTTTCCCTCAGGGCCTGGTACTCCCTGTCACGGTCTTCCCCATGCCATCCTTCCTCACCTCATATACTCTAAATAATCCCTATTTCTTATCTTTTTAATTGCTCCCTTCCCGCGGGAGGTAGGGCTTTTGTGTGTTGGTTTTCTATAGGACTTCCTTGCATTAGTGAGCGCTAAATGTTTGTTGAATGACTGGCTGCAATATGCAATTTAGTAAGTTTTAATCAGTTGTGTATTTATGGGAAGAAAATGCATTTATTCTTTTTCATGATGATTAGGTGATGTTGGGCAGTAGTGAATGAAGTAAGCTAATCCTGGGCTGAGGTAATTGTGTCAGATAATCAAATTTGCAGAAGTGCTCGTTGCATTTAATTTTTATAACTTACCCCATTTTTAATTAAAGTTGGAAGGAAAACTATACATTTATTAAATGTAAATATTTAAAAAATTTTCCTAATATGTCTCATGTGCCCAAAGAACTAAAAACAAGGTATGTTTTAAGAGAATTAGTTGGTTTTCCAAATCCTACAGGAGCTGTTGTGGTTCACTTGCAACATTCATTCAACCCTAGCTAATTACTGTCAAGCAATTGTCCTCCTGTTGCTCTGGCGAGCTTAGGAGTGGAAGTGGGTTCTGGTTTTGACTATTAAAGCTGAAAGGAAAGATGGCTGGGAGTTTCCAGAGAAGATTTCCTCAAGCCTAATAAGAAAGAAGCAGAGCAAGAGGTGGTCCTTTGCTTCTGGACATCGTCTTGTCTGAAAGAGGAGCTTGCAGCTGGGGATCCCTGGGTGCCAGCCCCAGGATGAAACCAGTGCGGAGAGCATGTCTGCCTGCCTCTGCACTACTTGTGAAGTTAGATAATAAATTTCCTTCTTGCCAGTGTGAGTTGGTATTTTGTGATTTGCAGCCCCAGGAACATCAAAACTGATACATACAGGGGAGGGTATAGCTCCGTGGTAGAGTGCATGCTTAGCATGCATGAGGTCCTGGGTTCAATACCCAGTACCTCCACTGAAAAAAAAAAGACTTTGATGAAAACTGATACATTCATTTCATAACCTAATTTTGAATATTTATTTCAGTGCTATATCTTGCCACACCATGTGTACCTTATAATAAATCCAATTTGAAAACCTTTCCTTTGCCTTGTATGTATTTCTTTTTCTTGCTTATTTTTTTTTTAACTTTTTGCCTAAAGTCTTGTATGAGATGTGGATTTACCACTATTTTCTGGGGAACACTTATCCATAGCTTCATGGACTAAAATGGATTTGGGTGGCAAAAAATTTTTCGGAAACACCAGGATAAAAGCTTCCATATGGGTTATCAAAACAATAACAATTATTTTAGAATGTGTTTTTGCTAAATATTAGAAAGTTTACAAGGGTCTAGGGAAGGAGATGTGTTAATACGATCTTCAGCTTCTTTGAAGTTTACAAAATAGTTGATTTTTGCACTGACTTCTCCTCTGGAAAATAGCTGTTACCTGGTATCAATATTTACAATTTTGCTGCCACTTCAGACAGAAAAGAAAACTGCTCAATGCTTTCTCTTGTGACTTGCTTTTGCTTTCTCCTGTTGTTTTTCACGTTTTAAATTTAGATTTGAGAGACAAGTAATTTCCAGCCAATTTAGAGAAAGCTGGTTGTTAGGGGCATTGTAGGCCTGGATATTGGTTTTCAAACACTTTTAGCATCAACTTTTTTTTTTTTTCCTAATGAAACTCTTCTCGAAATCCAATATGAATGGGATTTTCAGGCAGCTTAAATCTTTATTGTTTGATGGGGAAATATTTTACTGCTTATTGAACCCATGGAGCACAATTTGAAAACCTGCTCTAGATGGGATTGGTGAAGAATGACCCTAGTAATTTTTCATCCAAACTGAGATATTTTTGAGTGCAGAATAATTATACCAAGGCAACAGGCATAAACAGACTGTGCGGGCTTCTGCGCTTGCGGTACTGAAATGCTGGGTGCTGCTGGAGCACGGATAAGCGTCTCTTTGGTAAATAGTGGGAGGGACACTGCTGCGAGTCCCCCTTCCCCTATCTACAGCCCACCCTAGTGCAGCTCAGGAGCCTGGCCCTGCAGGCAACCTGCAGCCTTTAAAGGGGAGAGTAGCCCCACCCTTGGGTGCACCCCACCCTTCAGCATATGATCACTGAGCACCTGCTATGTGCCAGGTGTTTTCTGAGGTGCTGAGAGTGCAAAGATAAATGGCTTGATTCTGAAGACTCTCAAGGTTTGCCCCATTCATTCAGCAGCACTTGGCAATGAGAAGGTCCGTACCTGTTAGACGAACAGTTGAGAGGTAGAAGCATGGGTTATTTAAATGGAAAGGGCGTGGGGAGTTTTCAGCCCTGAATTTGGAATTTGAAATGTGATGCGTGTTAGTGAGCCTCCACCCCTTACCCCCAGCCACCACCCCCTGAAACTGAACTGCCTTCAGGATCTGTGCCTGTTTGTGTAAGTTTCTCTCCGGAATCTACTTTATGGTTGTAAGTAGAAGGCAACTGTATGTGCTGGTGTTTGTTTTTCTAAGGTTAGGTTTTGAGGGTAAGTAGTGTCAGAAATAAGTAACTAGAGGAAGTAGAAATGATGAGCTGGGGTCCTGCGAAGCTCTGTTTCACTGTCTTTTTAGGATTTGGGAAAGTGGGAGTGTGTTTTTGTCAATGACAGAAAAATGAAGAGATAAAGAAAGGGAAATAATACGGAAAAATATAAAGAACCAAAACAGAAGAGTAAATGACATTGAAATGAGGATTTTCCAGACACAACGGTGTATCTACCATTAAGAGTTGTTTAAAGGTGCTTAAGATTAGAAAAGGCCCCTCAGTTCTGTCCCGACCTTTCACCCCAGCTGCTGATGTGCAGAACATATCCCCTTTAATAGCGACTCTTGGTACAAGATTCTCAGTGGCGTGGTGAGGAGCCCAGGGTTTGGTAAATGGAATAGTCATGCCAATTAGTTTAGTTTTATAAATACTCAATTGAGGATGTATTTTAACGTGCTACATAGACAATATCAAAGGCCTAAGAGTATAATAGATTTTAGACTACTTTGCCTTTAAAATAAGCGTTCATGTTCATTTAACCCTGATGTCTTCTTTTCCTTAAGAAGTAAAAAGAAAAACAAAAGAATTTTTTCCCCGTATCTTTGAGCTTTTATGGAATAATACGATTGCTCACAAGTGTTGACTTTAGAAGATTGTACATAGTGAGTTATGTATTATTTCCTCTCATCTTTAGCTATAGTTCTCAAGAAGAATAATTAATGAAATATAAATCAAAATATGGAGTGCAGACAAATAACAAGAGGAAGTTCCAATGCATCTTAGTTTTCTTGTTGCTGAAGTTGGAGTTCAAGGCTTAGAAGTGAATTAGTCACTTACAAACACAAGAGGAGATTGAACTCATACTGAACTTCTGGCAAGTTCAGACATGACTTCTTGTTTTATTTTTTATGACTTCATACTTTAGAGATTTGTGAATATTTAAACTGGTTACAGTTTTTTGAATGAAAGGATAATTTAGGTGAAGAGATGTTAAAGGCGCAGGTGAAGTTACAGAACAAACTGTTTTCCTCCTTCAGTTTTTAAGCATATCAACATGTTCATGTAGTATAAAAATCTCGGAAACTTTGAATTACTGGCCGTATTGATGAAGTGTTTGAGAATATGATTTTACTTGGCTTAATGTGTCAAAAGAAATCTTAAGTTAATTTTGTGAATAAAAATGCAGGCCTTAAAGAAAGATCTGCTCCAAAGCCAACAGTCCCACCAGAAGAGGCCGAGCCGTACCCTTGGCTGGAGGACCAGGTTCTGGAGGAGCCAGGTAAGCTTCCTCTCGTTCTGACCAGATGCACCTCAGCTGCCAGGTACCCGAGGTAGCAGTTTGCAGAATCGTGTTTTTGTTACACAATATTTATAGAACAGTGAAATACCTTTTCTTCTTGTCTTCTGAAATTTTATAGTTTATTTCTTCTAGTAAAAATTTACATGGGATTGTTTTAATTTTTGAGATCAAGAATCAAAGGCACAGGTGGGCGCTCCTTGCTAAACCACAGTTAAGAACATTGTGAACTAAATGTTGTTTCTTGATTCCAGTTCCAGGACTACTGTACCACGTTCCATTGAAAATAAAATTAGACACATACTGGACACTACTTTTGTCCTCATTTGTCACATTATGTAGTAGAGTAGGTCTCCTGGGTCCCCAGTCTTTAATATGAGTCTCCTGTCTACATCAGAAGACCTCCCAGGCCTCCGTGTGATCACCTGTAAGCCTGTGTGTATCTACATGACTGCACAGATCAATTCAAGTACCTTCTTAGTCACCCAAAGGCCTGTGACTCATAGGACGAAAACTGCTGAAATCTCTGACTAAATTCGTAAATGAAACTTGATTCCATTACTATCATTTCCGATTTATGCTTTGATTTTTATTACAAAGTACTATTTAATTCCTGCACATTTTTCATTTACCCAGTAGTTCTCAAAATTTGGTTTCATCTTGCCACCTATTGGGGATGTTAGGTAATACACTACATATTTGCTGGCAAGTTAATTACTCAGTCCAGATGGTACTTTGGCTGATCACTACGTACTGGTGAATCATTTGATTTTCCTTCCTTCCTTTTAACAGAGGTCAATATGTTGCTCTCATTTTTCTGTCATTGCTTAAATGGCAATCCCAGGAGAATTTTTTGTCTCTTCCATTCCTGTAGAATTGCTCTAATCCTACCAGGGCTAGAGTGATTCTTTTTTTTAAGCTTTATCGTTTAAATGTGTATTTAGATTTGACACCTCAAATTTTACTTTGAACTTAATTTATAATTTAAAAGAGTCTTGCTTTTCAAAGCCGGTACTTACTCTGTAATGTTGTACCACTTGCTTCCTTTTTTCCTTTTTTATTCTATGTTAATACTGCTCTTTGCATATTACTGATAAATTAAATTGTCCTCCTAAATCCTTCAGTCTGTTATCCACTCACACTTCCCGACACCTTCCGGGAGTGGGCACCCAACCCTGCCCATCCCAGCCCTCACACCAGCCGGGGGCCCTTCTCCTCACTGTCAAGGGGGAGAGGGGTTGAGCACGTACTCTGCCGGATAGTGAGCTGTCTTCCGCATTTATCCGTATTTCCCAGTACTTCCTTTTCTGAAAGCTCTGCCCGTCTTTATTCTACCACCAGCATAAATTTTGTTAACTAGAAACTGAAATGATTTTGCTCTGAGTGAGGTTGGTTTGTATTTTTTAAAGAAAAATCTGAACCCAAATTAATTTCCTATTTTGAGTAGCTTACGGAGAAGCCTTTTAGCATTTATATCTGCTATCAAAATAAAGCCAATTTAAAATATCTGTATTTGCCAACATTGGGGGAAAAAGGGGCTATACTGAGATGAAAAAGGTGCACAATTACTATTAGTCAAATATATTCATTTTAATGTGTATACGTGGATACTGTACTTCATGTTCTACACTAATGTCTAAATTTTTTCTACTTAGTTATGTTCTGTAATTATTTTAGGGCCTCAGAATATTGAAGATGAAGTGCAAGAACAAATTCAGTCACTTCTCCATGAAACAGTATACACAGAACATGGTATGAATTAAAATCTGTGTTTTCACACATTACCAAAATAATGGTTAGTTACATAAAATGACTTGGACGTTATTTTAACATTTAAATGATAATTAAGTGTCTGGGGTTTTTTTAAAGTTATTAGAGGACAAGTATTTCTAAAGCAGCGCCACACTCGTTTTACCCCATTTTCTTGCGAAGAGAACAAACAAATCGAGACTAATGACACATCAAGAACCGATGGCAGCGCCAGAGGAGGGAGAGAGAACAGACCCAGGCGAGCCGTCACGGGCGCTCTGGGAGCTGTCGCCAGCCCTCAGATTTTACTGCGTGCTTGAGTGGCCACCCAAGCAAAAAGGAGACACTTAATTATGTCGGTGGCGTTACTAGAGAAGAAGCAGACATGCTGTTTACTTAGAGAACGTAACGCCTTTTCCCGGCTCTCACGTCTAAAAACTTTCTCATGTGAAGTTCTGTACAGAGAATGTGAAAGGATACTGGAGAAACCAGTGCTTGACGATTTTATGAGGCTGTTTCCTTGAAGCATCCCTTGATAAAAGCAGAGAGTATAACCCCAAAATGTAACTCACAGGAGGATTTTGAAGAGGGCCGAACACATGGTGTTCTGATGCCTTCAGGGGTTTGGTGCGAGCTGAAAGCGATCCTAAAGGAAAAAGCCAAAAAAAAGTTTCCTAAAAACAAACAGAATTCCCTATCATTGAAGTCGGGCTTTAGCAGGCCTGCTAAGCTGTCTTATTCAGTCTTGGGTTAGGGGTTAAGTAGAGAGCATCATGCCTAACTCCTCTGCTCCACTGGGGAGACGAGCTTCGGCTGAGTCATAGGTTTTTACTGTTGGTTGCTAGGGGCCTGGGAGCCTGTGTCCATTTGTTAGTTACCAGTTTATTCTCAGCTAGAAACACTGCTTCACCGGAGTGTGTATCTGCCTGTCTGAGCACAGGCTTCTTCTTCCTACCCTTTTAAGAAAGTTTTCATTTTAACCTAACACAAGAATGATGCAGTCTAGATATGGAAGTGATCTCAGTATGATGAGGTAAGGACGGTGGTGGTGAGACGCCAGGGTGCTCTGTGGGGCTTGCTCAGTCTTTGGGGTTAGGGGAGGCTTCCTGGAAGAAATGGTGCTTTGGTTTAGGAGCTGGAGGATGGTGTAGTGCTTTACCAGGCAGATGTTAGTGAGATGTTTTCAACGGAGAGCATGGCATGTGTGAAAGTTCAGAGGCCAAAGAGGCTCGACGTGGTTCAGGTCGGCTGACACGTGAAACACACAGGTGGAGAGAGAGACGAGGGGGTGGATATTTTTGCTTGATTCTAAGCGTGTGCAGGAGCGTTGGGTATTCTGTCTGCAGCATGGGAAGTGAGTCAGAGGGAGTGTTAGCAGGGAGATCAGATCAGGGGTTGTACTGGTGACCCAAGTGAGTCCAGATGCTGGTCAGACCAAATTTCACCCAAGGTGGCGAGCGAAAGAGGTAGAGGGTGTGCTAGATCTTTAGGTGGGTGGGTGCAGGAAGCCTGAGGAGGGAGAAATCCTCCAGCACCTGTGCTCCATGGACCTCTTTCTTGATCAAGGCTTTCTCCCTAGGAAAGTCACAGGCCGTGGCTTTTAGCATTATTTGTATTGCTTCCGAACTTATGTCTACAGCCCTGATCTGTCACCTGAGCTCTTGTTTTTATCCAACTGCACGTTGTTATTTCTATTTGCATGTTCTGTGGGTATCTCAACTTAAGAGGTTCCTAAAACTGAATTCTTGATTCCTCTGTGTCTCACCGCTCCCCCGCCCCCCCTCCAGAAGTGTTTTACCCTATTCCAGCCTTCTGCATTTCGCCTCCCTCTCACTTAGTTGCTAAAGGCAACAATCTGGGAGTTTTCCTTGTTTCTCTCTCCTCTTCTCCCCTCCTATGTCATCTACCAGCAGTTCCCTTCGGCTTTGCCTCTAACACGTGTTTTGACGTCTGCCACCATCCCCTCTTCTCACAACCGCTGCAGTGGCACCCAGGTGGATCCCTGTTTCCATCTTTGCTCCTCAGTACCCCATGTTTGATGTGGCCCAGCTCACTGTGCCTAATCTGGGCCCAGTCTCTCTCCCCTCGCTCACTTTTCTCTAGCCCAGCTGGTTTTCTGTCTCTCCCATGCACTTGCCAAGCCTGTCCCTGCCACGGGGGCCTTTGTGATATCTTCTGTTAGTGTTTGCTTGTGTACATGTGTGTGTCCCCATTTTCACATTTTACAGCCCAAACGTGGCCTCCTTGACGCGATCTCTGAAGTAGACTCTGTCCCTGTCATTCTGGATTTCACTGTAAGGTTGAGGTCCTGCCGTTGAATTTATTAGCAGTGTGGCTTTAGCAAAGTTTCTCGAGTCCCTCATCCTTCAATAGGCTACCCCATAGCGTTGGTGCAGCAGGCGCAGAGGGTGTGACAGTGCCTCCAGTGGGGTCTAGTACGCTCCCAGGAACCTGTTCTCGTACCAGACAGTAGAGACTCAGACGGTGCACGGCACTTGGTTTGTTTTCCTACTGAAAACAGGGACTTCCATTGAACTGATGGCCGAGATGGCTCAGTCTGGCTCACGTAAAAACTGACAGATTTCACTGAATAAATGAGAGTAAGGAAAAAGCATCATGGCAAGAAGAAAAAGAGTAATAAAATTAGTGATAGGAGTTAGAATTGGTGATGGGCTTGCTGAGAAGCAGGAAATCCGAAATGAGGAGAAACAAGATAGCAGACTGATGAGAGGACGGGGAAGAAATACTATCAACATAAAAGGGCCTGAGAGTCCAGTAACACCTGGGGGCGCCACTGGGCCACCCTAGAGGTAAAGTGACTAAGGACCCCATCCTGCAGTTTGGGGGGAGAGTTCAGAAATAGTAATATTATTACTAGGATGATGATGGTGGTGGTAAAATATTAACAACAGCAGCAGCGCAACAGCAATAGAACCTAAATACTTATTATGGGCTAGGCATTTTCCTAAGTGCATCAGTCCTCACGATAATTCTGTGAGTAGGTACTCTTATTATTTCTTTTTTATGAAGCGAGATCTTAGACATAGAGTAGTTAAGTAACTCACCCAGGGTCACACAGCTGTTGTGGAAGCACCTAAATCTGGAGTCAGATATTCCAGACCCCACACTCCTAACGCGATGCTGCACTGCACAGCTAAGTCTAGTTTACTTGAGTTCCGTGGTTAGAGTGTTACACCCAGGGCAGCCTCTGATCGAGGCCGTGTCAAGTTACTACTGGGAGAATGTTTTGCACCACAGTGACAAGCTAACCCGTATTGCAGTGGAGTAAGGTAGCGTGTCCAACAGCTACACAAAAGGAGCAGAGCAGTTCAGTATATCGTGAACGTCTCAGGACAGAAAATGGGCATCTTTGCATAACTTAAAGGCTAAACCTAGGAAGCTTTAAAGGCAAAGTGGAATGCAGCTGACCCAACGCAGAGGACCTGGCAGATGGTTTGGGGGGGGGGCTGACTGTTCTTTGTGATAAAACATTTGCATAGAGTTATTTAAGATTGTTACATGGAATTTTATATCTGTTCTCAGTGAAAGGTCACAAGGTGACCGTTTCTCTGACCTCATGATAATTGAAGAGGCAAATATAGTGATAATAATGAATTCACTTACTCACTTATTACGTATTTATTGAGAACTTCCTATGGCCAGTCATGGCCCTACGTGCTGGGCATACGTAGTGACCAAAATGTATGAGGTTCCTGTCCTTGGTGAGTTTATGTTCTAGTGAGAGCAGACCTGTTTCCCCCTGAGGTGGTCTGGCCCTTGGCCAGAGTGAGGACAGAGCTCCGGAGTGGGCAGCAGCATGCTCAGTGGCCTACAGGAGGGACAGGGAACGCCCAGCCGCTGAAGCGGGTATGCGGGAGCCTTTCAGATGGGGTGTGCATGTCTGTGTTGGCTGCCGCCTGGGGCCCTTGCTGTCCGCCCGTGTCACTTTGTTCATCATCATTGTTCAAGGGGAGGACCTGCAGCAAGAACAGGATGGACCAGCAGCAGAACTACAGCCAGAAGACGGTGTCTTTGTAGGAAGTGATGCAGATGATGGATTTGAGCCCACTGGAGCACTTCATGAAGGTAGAACACAGTATTTTGGTTTCAGAATAAAATACAATAAATAATTTGTAATTTTGGTTATGGAAGTTTTTTTTAAATACCTTTAAAACCAATATTTCACTTTTATCCAACTTTTTTTTTTTTTAAGTTGAAACTAAAAACAAGTATCCTCTAGACAGTACGGTTGGTGAATGGTTGCAAGGACTATATTAAAGCACATTATGAGAAAGTAAAGTAGATCCACTTCTCACAATATATAACATTCTGGGAAACTGTTTTAGAAGCAAAAGCAGCTCCTAATTCATGAATGAATATATTTCCCAAAGCTTATAGTCATACCTTGATAAACATACCATGATAAACATTCATTCAGAATATACTTATGTAATATATAAACATGCCATTTTATGAAAGTGGTAATACTTACTTCATGTTATTTTTTCCAGAAACTGAAGATAACTACCATGTAGAAGAGACAGGTAAGGTTTTAGCAGCATGTGTCTGTAAATACTAGAGTTACACCTCAGTCTGGGAGTACTCAGGTGCTGAGTCCAAGGGAGGGGCGGGGAAATGCGTGTTCTTGCTCAGACTCACTTTGGCAGGTGCTTGCTGAGTGCATCGGAGGAGGGTTCATCTGCACGACTGTTTCTGTCTCTCTGTGTCTTTGTCTCATTTTTTGTTGTGTGAATATAGTTGAATTTGCATCAGCTAAATGAGAATATGGCGCACCTTGATCTTGTGGTTCAGTTACAAACCCGCTGATGATGAAGACTTTCTTATTCAGCTTTGTATTTGGCATTTAGCACAGTTAGTACTTGTTTGTTCCATGAGTGAATGTAAGCTTGAGCATCATTATGATTTGATTTCTATCTTTACTAGAAATTGTGTTTTTTCATATTTTAAATATCAGGTGTGATACTTTTTTTGAGACATATTTGTAATTTCCTAATTATTCCCTAATTTATAGCTTCACCAGCCTACAATCAGGATATGGAAGACGTGATATATGAACAGGAAAATCCAGGTCTGTGACATGTGTTTCTCTTTGAGGCAGTGGCCAAGGTCATTTTAACCCAGGGTTAATGACTCACTCTGATTCAATGCATAGGTCTCCTTAAATACTCAGTTTTTGCTTGCCCAGATATTTACAGAAATTTCTGAATATAGTTTAATATTACATGGAGAAATGAAGTAAAAAGGAAATGTGTTTTTCAAACCACTGTTGGGATTTTGGTCTTTGCAGATGGGATACTGGAAAGAATATTGGGGAATTAACAAGGCAGTAGGACATAGTGGAGCCAGGTGGGGGGGCAGGTCCTAGTTTTGCTCCTCCTTGTATTTGTGACGTAGGGAGAAAATTATGGAACTTTATCCAGCTTAAGTTTTATTAAGTCATGATAATAGTATCTATCTTACACAGTTACGAAGATTAAAATTAATTTGTAAATATTTTAGAATGCTGTCTAACAAGGTATTTGGTTCTTTCATGTTTGGCAAAGGTATATTTTTTCTTTTTTAGAATCGAGTGAACCAGCAGTAGATGATGATGGACAAATGTACCACACAGGTATTAAATGAATGTTTTTGTTCGATTTTAAACATTGCTTAAGGCTTTGCACTTATGATGCTGTGTTAACGTGGTGACTTTTCTTTCAAAGGGTCAAAGAAGTAATTTTAGCACCTAATACAAGACTTTTTGCTTTGTAACAAAATTGGATTATTTAAAGAATACCAGGCTTTCATACTTTACCTCATCTACCACCCTTCCACAACAAAACAGCGTATTAATTCCTAATGCTCCTTTTGTATATCTTTATGCCAATTTGAGGAATTTTTATGAAAATAACATGCCTGCCCTTTCCTCTCATTGCTTTTGGGCACAGGCATTTCTCACGGATTGTACAAATGTTAATATTTAAAGGATCAGAATTCTGTATTTGAGATTAAGTTGTGTTTTTTAGCTAAGCAGTTACACAGAATGACTCAAATAATACTTTGGTTTTATTCTCTTTTTTGCAGATGATGTAACATACCAAGACTATGATGAACAAGGTTTGAAAATGCTTCTTAACCTTAAGTTGCCTACTTGTTTTAAAATCTACTCATAGTTTTGACTATAAAGCATGGAGAGTGATATTTTTAGCTGCAAATACCATAACTTAAAACATCCGAATGAATGGGTAGTTTTCAAAGAATTTACTTTAGGAGATTATTTACCTCCTCCCGTGGTTCCACCATTGCCTAAATACTTCCTTAAACTCTTTGCAAGTTGCCTTTGGAAGCAGTTAAAAATTACTCAAGAAAACTTAATCTCATGACTGTATAGTCATAGCCCTCTTTTTATTAAACATGCCTTGTGCTTGAAAGACTACTTTAGTCAGAGCTTAACTACTCCAGCTGCCGCTGCAAATTCATTTCACTTAAATAAAGATGACCAATCTGCCAGCCTGGAAAAGGGTACAGAATTTCATTCCAGCCTTAAAGGGAGCTTGGAGAAAATGGTTCTGGCATCAGGTTCCAATTTACACAATTACAGTTCCTCTTGTAGCCCAAGGACTTCTCATGTGGTTTTATTAAGCTCCTCAAAGGAGATGATATTGTCACTACTTCCCAGATGAGAGAAGTAAGGTTCCAAGAGTGTAAGTAATTTTGCATAAATTAATATGACCAAGAAGCCATAGAGCGAGTGGCGTATCCTTTTTATTCCAGTATCTAAAAAGATGACTGTAGAAGGAAAGAAGCCAGTCGGGTATAAGCAAGAAGGATGAAGAGACGTGCCGTGCTTGAGTCAGATGTGGAGGACATCCTATGTGCTGGATGGTCTTAGAGTTTAACATTCAAATATGAATAATATTGAATCTCTACTTTTAAAAAATTTGCGGTCTCATGATAGTTGGAATCTGAATTGAAGAAAGTTAGGAATGGCTGTGTGTAGATCTGATACATTAATTCATTAAGCGTGTGTTTTTAAGATTTGAAGCCCTACCAAGATCACCATTCACAATGACTGTTCCTAATGGGATATGAATGATATCACTGAAGGGATCCTGGAGTCTAACTCTAGGGACTAATGTTTTTATAAGAAGTTAAATAACTTGGCCACTGGATTGCATTTAGATTTCAAGTTTGAATTTGAGGGAGAAAATAAGAATGTGAAAATTAAATTTGCATATAAATTCTTTTCTAATTTCTGCCAGTCATTATATATGTTTTTCTAAATATGCTGGAAAGAACATGTTTGGGATGCACTTTGCAGACTGGTTCTAGAGAACTTTAAAGTGAAATTTGAAAGAAGTGTAAACTCAGATACTATGTTAAAAAAGATGTTGTGAAAGTAAAGGTATTTTCATAAGCAAAATATCATTATAAAAATAATTTAAAATGTTAACAGAGTGAAAATATGACCTGGGCAATCATCAGGATTTGATGAGGTATTTTGAATTACCTTGCCATAGAACGTAAACTTTTTCAAACCAAAGAGTTTTAGTAGAACAGAGGATTATTCATTATATGCTAAAAAGATACCTCTGTGCACTTCAGGAACCAAGCTAGGGAAATTAAGTGACTGTGTGTGTGTGTGTGTGTGTGTGTGTGTGTGTGTGTGTGTGTGTGTGTGTGTGTGTGTATAGCTGTAAGTAGGATAAAAATAAAGCCGTTTTTCAGTGGGAGAACAGAATATATTCTGTATTAAACTCCCCAAACTCTGGAACTTGGAAAACAATACGGCTTGCCAAGGCTGTAGAGTGAACCAGCTTTCCACATTAAAACTATCCTGGAAAGCATCACGCCTACCTTGGGACACCTGGGAAACGACAGGACAGTCTTACCATCTACCTGATTTATTTATTCTTACACTATCTACACTGCATATATGTTACGTGTCCTGTGTCCAAAACAGGACGCTGGAGCGGTTCTAGTGAAGAACACCCTCATGGTCCATATTCTCACAGTCCTTGTATTTTAGCAGTAGGGTAGAAATTATACAAATAATTTTAATTTGGTGTTCAGTTATAATTATGCTAAGTGCTGGTAAGAGTGAGCACAGCATATGACAAGAATATATAGCAAAGGGACCCTACCTAGTTTGTGGACCAGGGAAGGCTGAAGTATGAGCTGCAGAGTGGAACAGTTGATGAGGCCAGGGGAAAGTTGGCGTGGCTGGGATGTAGACTGAAGCTTCTTATGGGAAGATGTGTCTGGAATGCTAAGTGTAAGGGGAGAGATGTGGGCTGAGGTTCTGAGATGGTCCAGGTCCAGAGGGTGCCTGCCATCAGTCAAGGATTTCCATCTTCACCTTAGAGCACTGTTCTAGGGCACTGCATTTTGTAAAGACTGATCTGTCTAAAAGATAGTAAATAGACTGCAGAGAGACAAGAGTGGATGTGGGGAGACCAGTTTGGTTACCACAGTTACCCAAGTGTGATCTTCCCTGAGTCACATCTCTGCCAAACACGGCGTCCAAGGAGATGAGTGTCAAGAACGAGGTGTTCAGTCATATCCCGGGCTGCTGAGGCCCCACGCAGGGTGAGCACTGAAGCCCTGCCTTAGATCTCGCGCCGTATGGCCTCCCTAGTGACCTTGGCAAGAACTGTTTTCAGTGGACGGTGTTGGACAGAAATGAGAGTAGTTCAAACCAAGGTGGGGGCAGTGAAGGTGAAAGGAAGTGGACAAAGCTGAGAAATAGAAGGTAAAATTAGCAGGGCTTGATGTGCGGGTGTAGCTGGGGAGAGAGAACCAGATGTCGGGAACCACGTCCACTGTTCTGCTTATGCACCTGGTGGATGGTGTGCTTTTCCCAAGACGGGCGAGACTGGAAAACAGGCATGGGGCCAGGAGGTCATGAGTGCCATCTGTACATGCTGATAGCACCTGTTGAGCCATCCGAGGAGAGAGATCACATTAGCTGATGGATGGTGTTTGGATCTCAGAAGAGAAGTCTATTCACAGCTGAGTTTGAGAATCATCAGACTGTGCATTGTGATTGAAGCCAAAGGCTGAGGTTATTTAAGGAAAGAGGATAGAGTGGGAAGAGAGGATATTCCGTGGCTGGACGTTGATGAAAGGCAACGTTTAGTGCCTGGTGGGGAAAGGATGGAGTGACAAAGAAGATTAAAAAGGAGAATATGGTCACATTGGAGTCCAAGAACAGGAGTGTTTGAAGAGGAAGGAGCTGCTCGTAGATCTGATATGCTAAAGGCCGAGAGTAGGTGAGTGGCCTTAGAGGAGGCTCTTTAGGGATGTGGTCAGGGCCGGAAGGGAGACTGGAGTGGTGTGAGGGGAGGACGTGAGGAGATAAGACAGCACGTGTAAATGACGCTGACTCTTTAAAGAAAGTAATTATGAAATAGAGGAAACAGAGGAAAAAGGGAAGCAGGCTCAAGGGAGAGCTTATGGGTTTTGTTTTGTTTTGTTTTTTAAATTGAAGTGCTGACAGGGTTTAGGGTGACAGTGGGCGGACACGCACTGCGCCTTTGTCTTACACATGCCGCCAAAGGGATAGAAAACAGTCTATTAAAATTGGCCCTCGCTCTACCCGAGCACTGGGAATAATGTCTGTAGGGTAGTAGATGCTCAAAAATTTTCCCTTTATTAAATGAACGAGAGTGCATTTGTAACTGTGCTCTTAGGGTATCAGAAAATGTGAGGCCTTTGGAAGGTGGGAAAAGCAGGGATCAGGCTCACTAGGAAAGCTGAGAGCCAACCAGCAGGAGAGGAGACCACAGCCAAGACCAGGGCCCCCTTTGTGGTGAAGCAGAGGAGCCTTGAGCTGACAGTAGATTTATTCAGGGAGATACATACTCCATAGACAGAGTGCCGGCTATCTCAGCAGGTGCGAGAGGCCCCAGGATATGAGGTTACTAGTTTTTATGGGCTGGGTCATTTCATATGCTAACAAGTGGGAGAATTATTCCAACTATTTGGGGGAAGCCAGAGATTTCCAGGAATTGGGCCCCCTGCTCATTTTTTGGTGTTTTATGGTAAGCCTGGGAGCTGTCATGGCACCTGGGGAGTACCATTTAGCATGCTGACGTGTTACAGTGAGCATATGAGGAGGCTCAAGGTTTCCTGGGAGTCAGATCTTCTGCCATCTTGGGCCTAGTTGGTTCTAACCTGTTTGTCATTCTTTCAGTGGCTGTGCCCTGCCCCCTTCCCCCGTCTCATGATTAAGGTAGTGGATGGAGGGCCTGCCCGCTGAACCCTCATCCTCAGGGGCTGGAGGCAGGGCTGTTTGCTCCATGTGAAAGGTCTGGGCATTGCTCCCCGGGCAAAGTAGAGATAAACACTTGGATCCAAAATGATAAGTGGGCAGAGCCACGGGTAGCTCAGAAGCTCCCCTACAGTCATGAAGAAAAAAAAGGAAATTCAGCACCACCCGGGAGTAAACACATTGCTGGATCCTGGTAACAAGGGACTGCAGAGAACTTTACTTTTCCCCATTTTACAGGGAGGAAGCATATATAATCCATCTCATCGTCTGCTTTAGCCCATCTCCTCTGGCTAGAAGTGGCTGCCCCGTGAGTTGAACCCAGGCCTGTTTCACTCCAGACCAAACGCTTCCCCACTCTACTCTGTTACCTGCCGGTTCCTGGTGACTTAGCCCCAGAGGTTCAAGGATAAATTAGCCATTGTCTCTGCTCTTGCCTGGTACAGCCGGTGTTGTGTTATAATGGGAGTTATGCAGTGCTAAAGGATTATTTTTTTCTGTGTATTTTACAGTGTATGAGCCATCAAAAAGTGAAGGGGTAGAAAGTTCAGGTAAGGTTTCCCTCTAAGCAGGTGTTTCCTGCACGTCAGTTCCCCTTGTGTTTGTTAAAACAAGTATAATTTGTGAACAGAGATAAAATATAAGACATTCTCAGGTCATCAAGAAAGTAATGATAATGTTGACATATTTATTCCCTGTTTGTGGTGCAGGGATAATACCAGCCTACTGATGTGTTCTTTGAATACAATTTAGAAAATAAAGTTGATATTCTAGTGAGTTTTCTATAAGAAGCCCCAATCTAAAAGGATCCAAATTTAGGTCTCTGCACAGATACAAATTAATTTAAGCACCTAATCAAGGTGAGGTAATGCAAGATGTGTTTGCTTTTTTTTTTTTTTCAGTATAATGCTGTAGACAATTCAAACATAATTCTTGAAGGTAAGTTAATTTTATAGAAGTCATTTTACTTTTTTTTATTAAACTTATGTTCATTTCTTCAACAAGTACTTAATGAGCACTTACTATTCACTGTCTATACAGTGCTTGGGGGCCAGGAGGATGAGAGTGCATAATTCTGTCAACAGGCTAGCATTCTAGTGGCCTGAGAGATGATGAAGTAATTAAAGATCATGAAAAGTGCAGTGATGGAGACAAAACCAGGGTCATATAATAGAAAGTAACTTGTTAGAGTGAAGAGGGCTGCCCTAAATAGGAGGAGGTGGTCTTGTGAGGAATTATCCATGGGCAGAGATGAGTTGAAAGTCTAGTCCTTTACGTTGTTATTCAGCTGGGAAAAAAATTTTTTTTAAGTAAAGGAGTCGTTTCTGAAAATAAAAATAGCAGCATATATCACACAGTGGTGTTCCGACACGACGTAGATTTCTGTAGTTCAAAGTAGTTTGCAAAGTTCTTTCCTATAGTCTGTTTCTGTTGCTCATGAGGACACCAAAGAGGAATCCGGGCAAATGCCACTGTGTTTATTTCACACGTGCAGGACTGAAAGGGGAGTGAGGTCCGGTGACTGACCCCGAGTTCCAGGCTAGAAGTGGCTAAGCTAGTCTTCGACCCAGGCTGGGGGCCGGCAGCTGCCTCTGGGGTCCTTTTTTGTATTAGAAGTACGGTTGTTTTCCTACGACTTTTCAGGCATTTTGCTAAGCCAGTCGAGGACACAGCAGAGACTCTAAAGGAATTCCTTGTGGTGGGTGGTGGGGCTCCAGACTCTGTACCTTCAGCCCAACCTGCAGTTTCTCTGTTCCTGCAGCGCTTGGGTGCACGTGCGAGGGAACTCACCATCTTCACATGCCCACTGACCTTCTCTCCCCGTCTCCCTTTGTCTTGACTGATTCTCCCCTTGTCTCGACTGGTTCTCCCCTTGTCTCGACTGGTTCCATCAATAAATACTTGGGTTCCCAAACCAGAAACCTAGGAGACAGCTCCTCTTCCTCTGTCTCTACAGTTAATCTCCAATCCTGTTGAATGGGCTACTTGAACATCTCTCACATTCAGTCTTTTCTCTCTCTGGCCCTAGTGGTCTAGTTCCGTCTCTCATCGTCTTCCTGGGCCGTGGCAGTAGCCCTCTAGCTGGTCTTCTTAACTCCATACTTGTCCCCTTCAAATTCACCTTTCACAAGGCTGTTAGGATGAACTCTTCAAAAGTAGAAATCCGGCTATATGAGTCCTGTCTGTAAACCCTTCCATTCGTCCCCATCTGCGTCAGTAAGGTTACTTACTGTTACAGATAATAGAAAACCAAAGTTAAATTGACTTAAGCAATAAAGAGACAGATCAGTCAGGGCCTTGAAGGACCTAGTAAGGACTTTTGATTATGTTCTAAATACAGTGAGAATCTATGGAAATACAGAGATACGGCATAATCTGATTCATGTTTTGAAAAATTGCTTCCACTCTTAGTTAGAGGATGGATTGGATGGAGCAAGAATGGAAGCAGGGACCGCCCCATTAGGAAATTATTGTGCCCTAATCCTAGGAAGTGATCATGGTGGCCTGGCATAAGATCATGAAGTGGAAATGGAGGGAGAAGTTTCGAACTTGAGATGATTTTAGAATTTTAATTGACAAAACGTTCTGGTGGCTGTAAAGAGGACCTTTGGTTTGGTTTGAGTAACTGTTGGATGAGCGGGGCATTTACTGAGAAGACTAGGATGTGGAAGAAACAGGTTTAGGGAAGAAAACCAAAGATTTCATATTAGATATGTTATGTTTGGGAATTATGGCAGATACCCAGGTGGAGGTACCAAGTAGGGAGTTGGATATGCCAAGATGAAGTAGGTAGGTGAGATCTGAGACACATGTAAATGCTGGGAAGCCATCGTCATGAAGATGGTATTAACTCCAGTGGAAACAGATAAGATCATTTTGGAGGTGAGTGTGGAGAGAGTAGACCAGTAG